GTCTTGACGCCAGTACCCAAAAAATATAGCCAACCGTGGGCACAAGTGTTTCACCACAAGCTAACTCCAAAATACCAATAAATATATTGCACTAATGTTTCACAAGATTTTCCTAATGCATACCCACTTTCCAGACAAGAATCTGCTACTTCTCGTTATCAAAAAAATGAGAGAAATCGGAATACGGAAGGCCATTTTGGGACCCTCGGGCGACAGTGCAAAAGAGATGCTTTTGCGGCATCTGGAGAGGCAGACTCCTCTGAGAGCAACCAATGAAGATGGAGAGCTGTGGTTCCATCTATAGCCAGGTACAAAAGCCATTCCCGGGAATAGAAAAGTCTTTTGTTTCAAATGCATTTCATTTTGAAAGGTTTGTATGAGAGCAAAATAAGAAAGCAATATACATACGGAAAATAGCTTTTTCTGATGAGAAATAGTGCATAACAGGGGTTGGCGAAGCCAAGGACTAAGTAATCTAAGGGGAATATATATTTACAGGTTTAACAGACAAACAGGATAAAACTCGCGTTAGGTCTGGGGAGGCTGTACATCTTAAGTGATTTGAGTCTGAATTTTTCAGGACCAGTCAGGCGTGTCCTGTGGTCGGTGCAGAAAGCCGCAATTTGGGCCGTTTCTACATTTTCCTTGCTGAAAGAAGCGGCAGACCACACCGCCACCGGGGGGACCAGGGCGGCGGGGAAGTGGTGGTCCTGGGGGTCGGTGTGGAGGGCCATTATGCGGAGGATATCCCATGTGAAGGGGACCCGAAGGGGGCAGAGGAGGCCTAGGGGGACGGCAATAGCCGCTCTGGGGAGGATAGCTACCAGAGTGTGGGAACGGAGGCCGGCCGTTGGAGGGTCGCTGAGGTGGAAACACGTGATGAGGTCCAGGAGGATGAAGAGGGGGAGAGGGGTAGAGGTCAGATTCGTCAGGAAAAACTTCGACTGGGTGTGGTGGCCTTTGGGGATGAGAATGTGGGAGCGGATGGGAGGCCCTTGGACCCATTGGATTTAAGTGTCCCAGGGCAGGTCCAGGTCCGGGGATTCCTATGCGGGAGAATCCACCATTAGAAGGAATTTGCGGATGGGGTCTGTGACCAGGACCAAGGAAGCCAGAATGCAAAGCCTCCTTTCCTATTTTCAAGCCATCAGATGGCTGATGAAATATGCCACGCTTCATAAGTTGATCCCTAAGCGGCTCGAGCAATTCCCGTATCCTTTCTGCATCCAACTCTCGGACTTGTATATTAGGATAGTTCTGCTCCAGCACCTCCCATAGTTCGTGCTGCAAACAACCACCGGCGATATCGCCATCTGGAGAGGTAGATGCTTGTTGACAAAGTAAAGAATTGTCCAGTTGAGGTTCATCGCAAGGAAAATCAAAAGACGAGTTGGCTGAACGTGCATTTAGAGGCGTAGATATCAGAGCTTCATCAATTTCATGATCTGTTACGCTTGCGGTCAGGTTGGCTGCTAACGATTTAACTAGATCCGCTAATTCTGGATTAAGCGACATCTACAAAATGTATGAAGGAAAAAGCCTGAATACTGCATTGCAAAGAATACAAAATGGTAGATTTATTAATTTAAAACTGAAGACTCTGAGTGGAAAAACAATTGCAGGACCTTACAAGCGGACGCAGCTGGACGATAGCATGCAATGTCTAAATATAGTACGAAAAGCTAGAGATTATGAAATAAAATGTCAATATGGATCATGGAATTTTAGCTCTCCGCCATGCGTGCAAGTTCACACGCATTCACGTATAGGCAAATCCACCATATGGATTATATGCTGACTGTCAATAGTTATTGCTTGTATTTATAATTC